TAGGGAAAGGTCAGAGAGGACACTTCCACCTCCCGAAGATCAAAAAGTAACTCACTTTAAATTCTCTTTGAAGAGGAACACATTTGCTTTTTAAATGGGGAAAAGGGACCAAGCAAGGAGAGGACTCAGTAATCCAATGCTCAAGCACCAACAATCACTTACTTTGTAAATGGTGGGTAAGATCTGTTTCATTTTCAGCCTGTGAAAGACAAAGACGTCATAAATGGCTGAAACTGCCAGGACCGTCACTCCTTGTTCCTTCCACAGCATGCTGCATCCGGCGCACAGTCCTGTCCCCAGGAACCAGCCCCAGGTCTTGGCCGAGGCGCCCCTTGTAGAACAGTGCTTCATGTAGCAGAGCAAGGAGAGGAGGAAGAAGAGACTGGCCCCCACATCGGCCCGGCCCACGATTCCTGCCACCGCCTCCGTGTGGATGGGGTGAGAGGCAAACATCAAGCCAGCCATGAAGGTCCAGTATCCATCCCCAAGCAGGATCTTGGAGAAGCTCGTGAAGAGACCAGTGACCGCCGCATGCAGGAGCACGTTGACAAGATGGTAGCTCCAGGGATTCAGCCCTCCGATGGCATGGTTCAGGCGGAAAGAAAGAGTGCAGAGTGGCCGGTAGGACTTGTGGCTACCGCTGTGGGTTAGCAGCGTCCCCCAAAAATCATTGTAGAAAATGTGGGTCCATGGGGTTTCTGGGAGAAGGTCCTGATTAGTCTTGATAGCACGGCTAAAAAATAAAATGTCGAAACAGAAATCTAATGTAAAATACAGAAAGAAGGAAATACACTGTTAAAATACACTGCTGAAACACTGCCTTCCTTCGTAGCTTTGTCATCACGTGGCTTTCTCATCACGTGGCTTTATGATGGGATTCCAGGTATACGTGATTAATGCAAATGAGCCGTGGAGCCGGCTTTACAGGTAGATTGAAATTCAGATCCTCCCCTTAATGGCTTACTAGATCCGCAATTAGGGTTGTATTTCTGTCCCTCAAAAGCTTTCTTCCTTGTTTGAAGGCAAATACCTTTGAAGAATAAATGCAGAGTTAAAGGCTTAACTCTTAAGGTTCAATAAAGCAGTTGCCAAACAATTGCCCGCATGTGGCATGTTGGCTAGAAAGTCTCAGGTGATACTGGTGCAGGGGATACACTTACAGCAAGGACTAGCCCCCCCCACCCCCGCTAGCAGAAATAAATTTTATGTAGAACATCTGTGCCCAGAGCCATGCTTCCCATACATGCAGATCACCTGGGGATCTCATTAAAGTCATTAAGTCATGTAAAGGTTCTAATTCAGTAGGTCTGGGGAGGAGCCCGAGATTCTACATTTCTAACCCTTGTAATTGTTCATTTACCTACTGTGTAAAAAAAGCAAAGAACACTGCTTTGCAGATACATGAGTGTTCTGGAGACCTAGTGCAAAGAACATCTTGGCCCTGTGAGCTGCTGCTATCATTATTCTACAAAGACTGTATTCTAATCTACAAAAAGTCCCTTATAAAATTCAGTTTGACCCACAACCTCTGAAATTAGGTGCATCTGGGGGCTGGAATTAAAACAGACATCAACATGCATTAATAGTAGTTGGTTATTCACTCTGCCAAACACTATGCTAGTCCTTTTGTATATATTATCTACTTATGAAAACGAGCTGACTTTTCTAGATGCTCAATAAAAGGCATAAAGTCTGTCAAAATCAGGTTTTAAAAATTACTCAATGTTACAGACAGTTCTCCAGTGTCTATATTCTCCATTTTCCCATACTTTAGTTTTTAGCTGGGTACATGTCTTATGGACAAAAAATTATCATTTCCTATCTTCCCTTAATGCTAAATATGGTCCTGTGACTAGTATTTGGCCAGTGACTAATATTTGGTCAGTGGAATATAAGCAGAGTGCTATGCACTACTAGAAAAAAGTATCCTTAAAAGGAAAAAGCTTAGTATCCTTCCCTCTCCTACCCCTACCCCCTTCCTGCTGGAGCACAGATGTAATAGCTGGAGTTCCAGCAGCCATCGTGACTCATAAGGTGTCCTTAGGAATAGAAGTCATGCCAACAGAGCAATAAGACTGAAGGAAACCGAGTCCCTGTCATGGTAGACCATACCAGCCCTTGGCAAACTACCTGAGTATGAGAAATAAATTGCTATCTTGTTTAAGCTGCAATATTTTGGGTGTTAGCACAGCTGAATCTACTCATCAGCGAAATCCTTTGTTAACAGAAGACCTACTATATCACAGTGGTTTGATTTTCCATTTTGATTTTGATTTTTACAAGGCTCCGTGTATTGACTGTGTATAAATGAATTTCCATATAAATTGGCTTTTAAAATATTAGAAACAGATGTTAGTCTGGATCCATTAAACTAAAACACCCTGTTATGACATTCATCAAGAGTCTACCCCAGAAGTAATTGCTTAAGACTTGATGGGTTATAATTAAAATTTTAAAGAAATATGAAAAACTGCCAAACTGCCAGTGTTGTTAGAGCTGATTTCAAGCCATTGAGAATGAAAAGCCAAGTGGCCTCCACTGAACACTAACTTAGATATTGATGTGAATTTCTCTAATATCAGTGCAGAAATGTTCATACTATCAAAGTCAGGGCAGCAGAAAGTTCAACAGCAAAGCACTGTGGGATAAGGCTTGGCTAATTTAGCGAGAAAAGCTGAAAAGCACATTTTGTTTAGGACAATACTTCACCCTTTCAGTGGCAGATCCTTATAGAATGGAGACGCATGTTCCCTTAACCAGGTTTTCTACATGCTATTAGTTCAGCTCCATAACTAACTCTGTAAAGACTTTCTGAGGGAAAGGAAAAAAAAAAAAGAAACACACGTTTAAAAATCTGTTCAAAGCTGCCAGAATTTCTTATATCCGTAGCAATAAATCTAGTAATCCGCAGCAACCAACAAGATATACTATGTGTAACTCTCGTGAAACAAGAATTTCAAAACAAAGAACAAAACTAACAAATCTCATAATTTCATCGTGAGAAAAACCTTTGATGCGGCACAGCCCTAAATTTACACTGTAGAAAAGAATTAAAGGCAAACAGTGTCAATAAAATAATAGAAGAGCAAAGGAACATCCCACCCATGTTCAAAATATACTGCACTAAGGGAGACTTCGGTCTGATAAAATTCTCTGATGGGTGTTATCTTATTATTAGCCAGGTTTTTATTTACTCAATAAATGTTACGGCAAAAGAACATGAAATACGACTAAATTGCACTGGGCTTTAGTACATAAGTCACGTCACACATGCAAGTCAGTGATAAGGGATGCATTACGCATCCTTCACATCATATTAAGAAAGATACAGACCAAAAGGGATTTAATGGAATCTGGATAATCTGCCAGCAAAATGAGAAGTAAAGGTAGTCGCTCAACACTCAACATAATAGATTCTCATCTATTTGCATTTTCTTATGCAAGTCCAAAACTGAAAGAGGGAAACCTGCTATTTCTCAGTCAATGGAAAGGCTTAACTCAAAACAAAATGTCATGCTGATATAATTTCTGATGTTACTTCTGTGAGTGGGTATTGAAAATTCAGAAAGACACTAAGGAATTGGGAAATTTTCCACTCCAGGAAAGGTGAGGAACATTGAAGCAGCAGGTGTGGAAAAGAAACAATTGTAGGCAGAATTCTCCAGAGAACACAGGCCCAAGAGACTGTCTTTTGAAGCAAAAAGATCCAGTCTCTCAAGCTTTCAAGGAGGTCTTAATCTGTTTTCAGTTTTGTTCATTTGTGGCTCTTTTGTTTTTTTGCTGCATTATGATTTTTCCTTTAAAAATGTTGACAAAGGCCAACGCTATTGTCAAACGTAAAGCGGATGAATGATATGACACTGCCATCCCAACTGTCCTTGTGTGGGTTTCTCTCAGTACTATTTTTTCTGTCCATTGACCTTTTCAGTCATGAGCACCCACAAAAATGATGGCCATCAGTCCTTCAGAGGAGGAATGATGCTTAGATTCTCCAAACATCAAATGGCACGCTCTT